CAGCTGTGTCCTCCTTTCTTGAAAGAGAAAATGTGAGAGTATTCACAAATGTTTCCTTTTCATTGAGGTTGCTGAACACTCATTACAGTTGCAGCACTTTAATCTTTGGTTGAACTCTGAACTCCGGTAATGATAAAGAATGACTCTTAGGAAAATAAACTTTTTTTGATTTATTCATGATATGTGGTTTTGCTGGCTGGCCCAGCATTGGATGCCCATCCTTGGTTGCCCTTGAGAAGGTGATGCTGGGCTGCCTTCTTGAACTGATGCAATCCTTGTGCATTAGAAAGACCCATACTGCCCTTGAGGAGGGAATTCCAGAATTTTGACCCAGTCACAGTAAAGGAATGACTGTATACTTCCAAGTCAGGATAGCAAGTAGCTTAGAGGAGAACTTGAAGTGGTGGTGTTCCACATATCTGCGGCCCTTGTCTTTCTAGATCATGAAGGTAACAGATTTGAAAGGTGCTGTCTAAGGGGGTTTGGTGAATTTCTACAGTGCATCTTGTAGATAGTACACACTGCTGCTACGAAGTATTGGCAGTGAATGGAGTGAATGTTTGTGAATGTGGTGCCAATCAAGCAGACTTCTTTGTCCTGGATAGTGTCAAGCTTCCTGAGCATTGTTGGAGCTGTACTCTTTCAGGTGATTGGGGAGTATTCCGTTACACTCCTGACTTATGCTTTGTAGGTGGTCAACAGGATTCGGGGAGTCAGAAGGTCAGTTACTCGACACAGCATTCCTAGCCTCTGACCTACTCTTGTAGCTGCTGCATTTGGCTATTCATTCTGTCAGTGTCTGGTCAATAGTGATGGTGAAGTCTGTTAGGGTGCTGAAACAACGCTTTCACTATTGCGACTGTGCTTGAAGAGCCCAGTGAATCTTGAAAAAGTGTGTCAAGAACTGAGATGGTTTGTTGCATGCAGCACAACCTCGCCATCATTAAGGGACAGTCCTAGCCAGCAGCACAGTAGAGTGGGTAAAAGGAAGAGGAAGATTGGAGGCATTTTCTGTCTCGGCTATTCATGAAGAACTGCAATTCTTCATGGACAACTGCAATTGCCTATTTACATCTGTTGATGATCATACTGCAATGCAAAGATAAATGCCACTGCAAAATAATATTTGAAACTTGAAAACATTCAACATTTCCTGGCACAACTCAGCATTGGCCTTCCCCAGCAAATCCTGCAGCAAACTCTTAGCTACAGACTTGAAGACTGCTAAATATATATCAAAGAGTAAAATATTTCCTGTGTGTGCTTGGCATTATTCGCAGTTCTGATTGGAATTCTTTTACATTGGATTGGTGAATTCTCAATTTAAAGCATTTGCATTCAAAATTCTGTAGCATTATTTACATTGACTAGTTCTGCTGACGCTGTTTTACCTAATTGAAATGTTAAAAAGATAAACTTATGAGTGATAATTTTCTTAAATAATGAAGTAATATATAGACTGATGTTCTGTTTGTCATTTAATATGATGTGGCAGTATTTTACAAAAGTGAAGTTTGTAAGATAATGTTTTGGGACTCTCTTCATTTAAGGAAAAAAAGAATGAAGGGAGTCATGTAACCTGTTCTGAATTCTCCCCATTGGCAAGCTGCAGTGGCTTGATTGTTAAAGATTAAAGAGTGGCGAAGGTTGTCTTTCTGGAGAGAACGTGTGAGATATTCATATCTATGAAGAAATGACTAGGCAACTGTATTAAAGGTGAATCAGTTGTTAGTCTCTATGGCAGAAGGAGGTGCCAGGAATACCAAGATTTTTACAGTGGCTATGCTTTAACTGTCCATTTAACTTCAAGTTAGAATAAAGTTGGGGTCTAAAGATTAGTTAATTAGCATTTCTATTTGCAAACAAGGTCCATGAGATTCAAGTTACTATACAGAAGTTGATAGGAAGCAACTTTTTCCTAAAAGATCCCTGAGCATCTTAATTGAAGCAGGCCATCAGGAGCTGAGAATGACGGACATGCACTTAGTGAGCCAGATGTTTACTTAACGGACAGATTAAAGTATAATTGTAGAGGCAGATTTTGGTCATTTTCAAATTTAAGTGAGGAATTTGTTCTGTAGCTTAGGGTTACAAGCTCCCTTCTGAAAAGTGCTTAGGAAGTAATAAAAGCAAAGTGTTATGGATACTGGATATCTGAAATAAAAATGGAAAATACTGGAAAAACTCAGCAGGTCTGCCAGTATCTGTGGAGAGTGAAAGACGGTTAATGTTCAAGTCTTCTTTAAACCCTTGTGTCTCCACAGATTCTGCCAGATCTGTTGAGTTTCTCCAGCACTTTCAGTTTATTTCAATGTTTAGACAATGTTGCTTTTCATTCTTCTGTTATCGTAAAGCCTTAAAATCTTCCAGTTAGTCACTGGAAATGCAAATATTTTTTTAAAAAGTTGTCATTCTCTACAGGAATTGTAACTATAGAAATTGAACTTTTTTGTATTTCTCTCTGTCTCTCATAACATAAAGAGTCATACAGCACAGAAACAAACCTGTCGGTCCAACTTGTCCATGCTGACCAGATATCCTAAACTAATCTAGTCCCGTTTGCCACCATTTACCCGTATTCTAGATCAAGGTGTTCCATTATAATTATGTGCGGCTGTTCACGTTAAGTTCTTTATCAAAACATTTGTCTTTACTTGCTCATCTGCTATGAACTTTTCCAACAATTTTTGAATACTGATTGTGTTAAGGGATATGGGAATAGCGCAAGAAGATGGACGAGAGGTAGAACATCATCCATGATCTTTGTGAATGGCCAAGCAGTCTCGAAAGGCTAAATGGACCATTACTGCTCTTATGTCTTATGTTTTTACATGCCATGGAATATGGAATGTACGTGCATCTGTCTGGCCGCTGCTGCCACAGTTGTTCATCCCCTTGTCTGTAGGAAAGCGATATACTTCAGTGAGCTCATACACTCTTCCTGCAGGATATGGAAGCCATTATTGAGTAGGTGGCCCAAAAACAAATATTGCTGGAGAAACTCAGCAGGTCTGTCACCTCTGTGGGAAGAAAGCAGAGTTAACATTTCGAGCCCGGTGACTCAGTCACTGAAGTCAATACGTTAACTCTGCTTTCTTCCCACAGATGCTGTCAGACCTGCTGAGTTTCTCCAGCAATTTCTATTTTGATTTCAAATCTCCAACATCCACAGTTCTTTGTTTTATTTTATTGAGTAGCTGGCATTATGCACAAGCTGTGAAATATGAAAGTGACACTTGCCAGTAGATCTATTGAAGCGTAAATGAGTTTTGATTGGTAAGCAATTTTGGTTGCTGAGTGATAGGTTTGGTGAGTTGAGGAGTATCTGAAGGATATGGTATTTGAAGATGCATTCACTGACTACCTTGATTTTTGGCATTATTCTCCATAGCTGTCTGTTCCCACTTTCCTTTTAATTTCAAAAATATACTTTTTTCATAAAAGATATCTTTATGTATATACAGTCACAAATGCAGTTCGGTTCTGTATAGTGGCATATCCAAGGAAACAAACAACCATTGGAGTTAGACTCTATCCAAACAAACCAAAGGCATCACTGACTTGAACCAGACAATATTTACACACTTTTGAGGTACGAGAAGGATCCAATAAATGAACAGACCCCTATTTAACTTCGACAAGAAGACCTCAGACAGTGGTCTTTCCCCACTGTGCTTTGGCAGCAGCTTCCCCAAGCTTTAGTGCATCCCTCAACACATATGATGCACTTGGAATGTACCACTCTGCAATATTCAGTCAGGGTCAATTTCTTGTTCTGGAAAATCAACAAGTTTCAGGCAGATCAAAGAACGTCTTTGTTGATGGTCCTCCAGGCTGCCTGTTCCCACTATCTTCTCAACATGTGCTCAGAGGGCTCTGACATTCTCTGGATATCCAAATCATACTTTTCATGTCATCCAGCAAGTCCACCATCTCAGGTGTTTTAAAAATAATGTTTTGGAGCCTAATTTCTCCCCTGTTATGTCATAACTTAATGTTTCACAGGTCAGATTCTCTTCCTGGATGACTACCATTCCTGCTCCAGTCATATGTTGACATGGTGCTGATGTCATTTAAAGCAGCATGTAGCCCAAAGGTGGTGTGTAGCCTGTAATCCAATCAATGAGCTTTGTTTAATCATGCGTAAAAATTCCCAATGATGTTTTTCAGGAATATTAAACTCCCAAAATATTTTACTTTGTTCTTACTATCTCTGATTGAGTTATAATCCCTTACTTTGTCTGGTGTGTGGGCAATGGTGTCATACTAGATTTACCTAAAATAAATAACTTAAGTAATAAATTTTAAAAATGATTTGCTCACAAGGTGCACCATCTTTGCTTTCCAGATCAGCAGTCCTCAGGACCAATCCATAATATGATTAGTTAAGTTGACTTTAACCATGCTGATGTGAGAATCCTTCACGGTAAAATTCAATATTGCTGGGCAGCAAAATGTTTGGTAGCTGATCTGTTCCCCTTTACTGATCAACCTGATTTTTTTTCCAATAGGATATGTGTAAAACAAGCAGCCGAATGCTATTAACTATTTTGCACACTTATAAGTTGAATTTTACTCCCAATAATTAGGCACCAGACAGAGATCAAGGAAGAATTAAATGAAGAGTTACATTAGGAGCCATTGTATTCAACATCAAACTTTGCTTATATCTTCTTTCCATGGAACTATTAGCCTACCTCATTGTACTGGCTGAAAAATGAAAAATTACCACAGAGCACGTTAGCAAAGAGTTGCGAGTATCTATGGAACCATCTGACAGTGGGGCCTTATCTACTTGAGAAGTGGAAAAGTGAAATTTAAAAAGAATGCAATGAAAGTTATGTTCAGTTTATTTACTAAGAAGTAAAATGGTATTGAGAGTTGTGCAGTGAAGATAGTTGACACACATGGTTGCATCTATAATGTTGTGGTGTTCATGTGTGATATAAAGTTATTCCAAGAGAATTTCATATATTTCTTGTACTTTGTTTCAATTTCAGGTTGAAATAAACCTTAAGCGTTATCCTACCCCTTACCCAGAAGATCTGAAAAATATGGTGAAGTCTGTTCAGCATTTGGTGGGAAAACATAGTCAAGAAGGATCTGAAGAAAACTCCACAGGCGCCACGAATATAGAACATTCTGCAAAAGATAAATATGAGCATAAGTGGCCTATATCTGCAAAGGAAGTTACGCTTGAGGTAGCTGAGAAAATTTAAAAGAATTCTTTCATCTTATTGTAGTTAAGTTCAGAAAATCACCTGTCAGAGGAATACATTGAATAGAGTGATTTTATTAGAGCAAAATTGAAATCAGAAGCACCCATCAGGTTAGTGCTACAGGTGTCTTTGGAGATCAAAGTTACAACAGCATCCTACATTCACAGATTTGGGGCGAACAATGTCTGATCAGATGGTTAACATCCACATAGTTAACAGTCACGGAAGTTTGCAAAGTGGACAATTTATGACTCCAGTCAGAATGCTTCTTTGATTTGAGACCAGTGATGCTGTTTTGGAGATCAGCATGCGAGCTAACTCCCTTTCTTTACCTGATATAGCTGAACATGTGTTCAGCAGCAGCAGTAAGAAGAAGCCATAGCAGTACTATTTAAAAGAGTCAGCTTAGTGGCTGGTTGAATTATTCTGGTTGTTACTTCAATTCTGCATTTTTCGTTACTTATTATAGTTGTTTAAATGTGCAAATCTCTGCAGGGAATGGTGTGCCAGGTACTATCAGAGCACTTGCTGACTGTAAGGCCTCAACATAAACTGACACAATTTTCCTAGGAACAAGCATTAGTTGGAAAATGAACAAAGGGCATGCATTCAGAGCAGCACAAGATGCCAGAAAAGGGTTAGGAGAAAACCTTGCAGCAGGAGGCCAAATGTGCCCTGTGTAGTCAGGGACCAATTCTCCTCCTTGATCCTCAGCATCAAGTAATGTGCAACTCTGTGCTTCAATAAGAATATTCTTGTTGAAATCTGAACACCTGCTACAACCACAACTACAGCCTCCGAGAAAGGCAAGGATCAATGAATGTGAAGGTTACTGGTGGTTATAAACTTCTTTGTGTCAGGTTTCTTCTAAGCTGGAGATATTTGCAACATCTTGCTGTTTGCCATTGTACTGTTGTGTAAGGATGGTCACTAATACACTTATTCATTGAAAGCTAGCCACATTTAATTCTTTTAGAACCAGCCAGAGTGAGCATATGATTTCCCTGAGTTTGTAGATTTCCTGTCGGTACAAAGCTTCATTGACTGCAAATGCCACATGTTAATTCTGCCCTATAATGAACTAACAATGATTCTACTCCCTCAATGTCCAGCTTCTGTGTGGCTATGGGAAGAAAATCTTGCAAACTACTGTTGGCTATACTGGCAGCAATCATAATTCCTTCATCCTACTGCAGTTTGCTACAGGGAGCTAACAGGGTGTATGCTACCTCGTTCTTCAAAAGAGAACAAGTGTCCAGTGAATGCTGTATCATCTGTGTGATGTGACTGCCATGGTTGAATGTGAGAGGTGGGTGTGAGGTTTACAGTAGTGCCATCAGTCTGAGGGTGTGACCAAGCATGTCAATGTCAGGTACGTGTCCTGATTGATGGAGATTGTCAGCAGGTGAGCAATGGGAATTTGATGAATTGAGCAGTGTTTCAGGCTAGTCAGATGTTAGGTTATGATAGTTCAAGATGGATTCACTGAGACAATTGTATATATTGATCATGACCACTTGAGGTTTTTGGAAAATTTTAAGAATAAAAATTCTGGACTATTTACATGGAGTTTATTATTGGAGCCATTCAGTTTTAAACTCATACATGTGACAGGACGAGGGAACATAATTGCCAACGTATTGTCACAACTGTGATGAAGGAAGACAAAGGTATTCAGTAGTGGAAGAAACAGATTGAAACAGACTGTAGAATTGAATATTTTCATGCTTGGAGTCAATGTAATGTATATGTATTGTAGTTACTTATAGCATAAGACTAAAGGTTTGTAAAAATGAAGCCATCTCTGTATATTGATGGTTCATTATTTTAAGGAGGAAGCTGTGATGATACTCTGGCTTTAAAAGATGTATTTTGTCCTTTTTTTTATGAAGATAGGTTGAGATAGAAGTGTTGAGCAGTATACCCTAAACAAATAAAATAAACAGCTTGTGAGGCCTTGGGTTTTTTAAAAAGTTGGAATAATAGAAACAGCATGAAAGGGTAGGGCCAAGGATTTTGACCCAGGATTTTAGTTTAACTTTCAATAGTTGTTGGGGTTTGTTAGCTGTTATACATCTTTCCCAACACAGCAAAACACTTGAGTTCTCTCTCCATCTGCCAGACTTTTCTCTTGATGTTCTTTCCATGCTGGTCTGGAGAATTGAATGTGAAACAAACTGTTTTACTAAATTTGCCTTTGCCAAGGGTGCAGTTATGGGATATTACTACATTAGAACAGTAATCATAGAATCCCTACAGTGTGGAAGCAACCCGTTCAGCCCATTGAGTCCACACCGACCCTTTGAAGAGCATCACACCCAGACCCACCCCACTACCCTATCCTTGTAACTCTGCACTTCCTGTAGCCAATCCACCTAACCTGCACATCTTTGGATGTTGCTGTTGAAAGTTGCTGTTTCGTAGTTAAATAATCTATCATTCTGTTAAGTTTTCCAATAGAATTAAGTTATTCCAATTCTTCTTTCTTTTGTTTATATTTTAATTATAGTGTTGTGTAAGAATAAAATGTGTTTTGCTTCAAGTCTGATAGTTTGACCAATCTAATTGCATCCGGAACACAATGCCTTACACTTGCCTTTAAAACTAAGAAAAAGTTGGGGTGTAGACTATCTTCTTAATATATTTTGAGGGGGTTTACTCTGGTCAATAACACATGTCTGCCAAAACCCCCTGTAAGATAGATGTTTGATGTTTTGATACATTTCAGATCGATAATAACATTAATCAGGGATTTTGGCTCAATTTCTTTGAAAATAAATTTCTGGGACTGCCCAGAAATGTTTTCTTTTCTGCCTATATGTTTTAAAATTGTGTTTTAGAAGAATTTTATTTATTTTAAATAGCAATTCAAACATGATAAATCTTATGATTCTTGTGAATCATAGTGATTCTTAAATTTCATTCCTACCTGTGCCAACTTCTGGTGATTTTCAACAGATGTAGAGACATCTCACCTAAATGATTGTGCATTCTCATTAAACTTAAACAGTTTTATTTTATAGTCGATTTTAAATCTTATGATCAAAAGGCAGTGTAGCTCCTGTATTTCCACATTCCTTCCCCTTGCGTCCAGGTACACTAACTCTCAGAAGCTGTGGAATATACCAAAAATAATTAGATGACCAGACAGGAAGTAGTTCCAACAGAATAACAACATATTGGAAAATGCAGGCTGAAATCTTTTAAGTTGCTCAGTTCCACTTTGCCAAAACAAAGGAACTGCTGGGAAATGAAAATAACATTTAAATGATCAATTAATGAAGTATATTTTTATGATGATAGATTTTTTGCTGGAAAAGCCATGTCCATACAGCATTGAGATTCCATGTTTGATTTTCAATTCAATTTTCAGAGATTGAAAGTCCATTGATTTCAACAGATTAGTACTGAGTGCTGGTGTTGTCTTAGGCAGGGGGTGGCGGGAGAAGCAATCAGAGTTTCTATATCTGACTCCTGTTCAATTGGCTGCAATGTTAAAAAGATTATCTTGGATGTGATTTTCCACTGCTGCCCACTTGACTGCGGCTACGAGAGCAGGTCAGAGGCTAGGAGCCCTGCAGCAAATAACTCGCCACCTACCTCCCCAAAGCTTCACCACCATTACAAGGCTCAAGCCAGGATTTTGATAGAATACTCCACACTGGCCTGGATGAGTGCAGGTCTAACAATGCTAAAGAGGTAGCCTGCTTGATTGGCACTACATCCACAACTATCCACACCGTCCGCAGCTGAAGCTCAGTAGCAGCAGGGTGTACTATTTCCAAGATGCAATGCAGAAATTCACCAAAGTTCCTTAAAGACAGCACCTTTCAAATCCACGACCACTACCATCTAAAAGGACAAGGACACCAGATACATGGGAACACCACCACCTGCAAGTTTCCCTCTAAACCACTCACCATGCTGACTTCGTAATATGTCACTGTTCTTACAGTGTCGCTGGGTCAAAATCCTGAACTTTACTCCCTAATGTAACAGTGAATGTGTACCTACAACAAATCACGGAATCACAGAAGGGATATGGTACAGGAGGATTCCCTTCAGCGCATCATGATGGGCGGCACGGTGGCTCAGTGATTAGCACTGCTGCCTCACAGTGCCAGGAACCCGGGTTTGATTCCGCCCTTGAGTGACCGTGTGTGTGGAGTTTGCACATTCTTCCCGTGTCCGCGTGGGTTTCCTCCGGGTGCTCCAGTTTCCTCCCACAGTCCAAAGATGTGCAGGCTAGGTGGAGTGGCCATGCTAAATTGCCCGTAGTGTTCAGGGATGTGTAGATTAGTTGGGTTATAGGGGGATGGGTAGGAGGCTGTGAGGGTTGGTGTGGACTTGTTGGGCCGAAGGGCCTGTTTCCACACTGTAGGATTCTATGATTCTATGTCTACACTGGCTCATTAAATAATCAGAATTACCTAGTGCCAATTTACTGATTATTCCCCGTACTCTTTCACATTATTTTTATCCAAATCATCATCCACTGCCCTCTTGAATAACACATTTGAACCCGCCTGCCTCCAGGCTGCAGGCAGCAAACTGCTACATTCCAAAGAACAATTAAAGATGGATAATAAATGCTGGGCCAGCTAGCAATGCCCCCATTCCATAAATGAGTAATAACAAAAAATATTGTTGCCTACGAAAAGGACAGTTAGCAGCTGAAAATCAGCATGACCCAGGATGTCTAATTCATGCAAGAAGCTGTTTAAACATGGAAATTGATTTCTGTCCTATTGGAGAAGAGATAAACAGAGTATTGACATGCATGCTCCATCCATTTGAACCAACAAATGAGTAGCCTTATCAGCGGTCCATTGAAGGATCTCTTGTAGTTCGAGGGAAGCATCTAAAAACATTTTATTCCTTCAGGTCATAAACCTTTGGACATTACCTTTTAGTTGCTGACAAATATTGGGATGCACTGAAATTCTGTTCAAACTTCTTCAGGAGTGCCTCCATGCTGAGATCTGCCTGACTTGGTGTCTGCTGTTAATTAGTTACATTCAAGTTGATTTCAAAACTTAAAACTGTTTCAGACCTTCATCTCTGGTTTCAGAAGGCTGACCTCACTACTCTGCCAACTACACACCAGGTTCTGGCAATAATCAAACATGCTCCACATGAAACCACCAAAGGTCACAGATTCTTATAATACTTACTGTTTGGGCATACTCCAAGGAATTGCCATTTGGGCCCGATATAGCCAGTAGAACTTTATTGGGCTATGAGTCAGAAGCACTTTCAGTAGAGAATTGAGAATGTATGTCAGGAAAATTATTTATAACATTTAAAAGTTTGAAAAAGTATGAAGATGAATAGACAGGTTAAAACTTGAAGGATGTTCTCAATGATCAAGGAATCCAAAACCAGGGATTACACTCTTAGGATCCAGGGTAGGCCACTTAGGACTGAGAGGAGACATTCTTTTCACCAAGGCAGCCATGCATCTGTGGAATTGTCTGCTACAGCAAGTGGTTAAAGTCAAAATGTTGAATGTTTTCATGAAAGATTTAGATATAGTTCTTAGAGCTAAAGTGATAAAAGGGTATTGGGAGAAAGCTGGAACAGGGTATGGATTTGGATGATCAACCATGATCATGTTGAATGGTGGAGCAGGTTTGAAGGGCCAAATGACGTACTCCTGCTCCTATTTTCTATGTTTCCATATTTGTATAAAGTGTTGATAGCGATACTTATTTCAAGACAAACCTTCCCATTGGCACACTGTCTAGCTGTTCCTTTTCTATCTTGCTCTTACTTGTTTTCTTGAAAGATCTACTTTTCTCTCTTCTACAGAGATCGTTAGGAGAGTCGCCAAATGATCTCAGAATGGGAGAACTGCGGCCTACTCTTAGTGAAACTCCACTATTCAAACCCAAAGTCGTCTTGTTGGGTAAAGAGAAGAAAGGTGCAGTGTCAACTCTATGGAAGCCAAGCTGTCCCAGGATACTGCATTAGGGAAAGCTCATTTGGGAGAGCGATGTAGTGGGGTGGAGAGGAGAAATGCTGCTCCATATGTGTGTTGTAAATCAGTGCTGAATTCCTGATTCTATATGTTTCTTATGAAGTCAGAATTTGGTGACAGCCTTCCAATTGCAACTGTACATTTATGGCATTCATCATTATGGTTCAGAAATTCCAGCAAGTCGTGACACATGATTTATGCTGTCACCTACAGTATACCCTAATTTTGTGGGATTTTGCATTGATGCAGAATGCCTCAAAAGCACAGTTGTAGTGACTTCACTCCACAAAATCAAAGCAAATCCCAAATTAGTTGAATTGACACTACATTGATTGTCAATGCTGCTCAGATTATTATAGAATGCACTGCTGTGGCATACTCTAATCAGTTCTCTCCGAATGAAGGTCACTAAATTATAGCATTAGTTACCAATGTTGCCACTTAAGTAAATTACTAACTAATATGGTTTCAGTAAATGACCTAATTCATTAGTTATACTTTCTACAAGCTATCAAAGTGAAGCACAACAATGGTGGTCCCAGAAAATGAAGAATAAAATGCAACCTTATAACAGCTGAATATATGAAGCAATCCAAGAAAAGTCTATGTGGAGAATAATCACCCCACCCCACCATGCTCTTGAGATCATCCTAAATATAGGATACCTCCATTATGAGGAAACCCTAGAGATGCTAGGTTTGCTGTCTTTGAAGTGCAAGAATTTTTAATATGGACTAATTGGAATTTTTAAGGTTATGAAAGAGATTTATGAATTTGATCCACATAAATTGTTCAAATTGTAGAGAAATTAGTTCAAAATTAATGAGCTAAAAAATGTAGTCAGACTTGTAACATAGGCTACCAAGGAAGGCCTTTGAAACACATGAAAAATAATCAGAATCTGAAAAAAACATTAATTATTACTTACATCAGAACTAGTAGGGAAGTTGGACAGATTTTGTTTTAAACCATAAAAGGGTAACTTGAGACATGTGGCAATGAAGACTAAAGAGAAGAGAAATAACAGGTGAGGGTCCAAAAATACCAGATGCAGTGGAATCTGAGCAAGATCCCAATGACCTGCACAATAAAACGAGTGGCACAAACAAAGGCTGTGAACAGGCTTCAAGGTCAAATTTGAATTATACATATCACCATTCCATTATAATTAACTTATTCTTTCAATGTGTTTTAATTAATCAAAGTTGATCTTTTCATGGAATGGCATTTTCACTGCTGCAGCAGCAACTTGAAGTATCACTTTGAGGAGCATGCTTGGGATTTGAACATCTGATTGAGCAGAACAAAACTGTTACCAAACTGTTGGTATATCATCCAGGCTTAAAACTTTGCTACAAGGTTACAGAAATCAGATTTAACATCATAAATGCCAAGTACCAGATCATAGCTGTTGAGCTGTTGGAATGAAACTTGGGAAAAAAAGAAAAAGTTGTGTCTATAGATGAAAAACATAATAAGCCCTCAAGCCTACTTAATATTAAAGCTCCATGGTATAATTTTAATGAAACAATCTATCTTGATCAATTGCTTTCCATGGACAGGATATTTATTTTCATTTTTAATATTTATTTATTTATAAGAATAAATAGAAATGTGTTTTTAATGTGCTTTTTTAAATCTAGATTTTTTTTTTAAATTCTCCTCTCCGATGAATTCATAGTTTCATTGGTAGCAACTGTGCTTGAGGACCACATTCAAGTAACTGTTTGTTTTAGAGTCATAGAGTCATACATCATGGTAACAGGCCCTTCTGCCCAACTCACTCATGCCAACCAGGTTTCTTAAACTGAACTAGTCCCATTTGCCTGCATTTGGCCCATACCCTTCTAAACCTTTCCTATTCATGTACCTATCCACATGTCAGGCAGTTCATTCCGCATACGAACCACCCTCGACATGAAAAAGTTGCCACTTGGGTCGCTTTTAAATATTTCCCTTCTCAGCTTAAAATTATGCCCACTAGTTGTGGACTCCCCAGTAGACTTTGGCTATTCACCTTATCTACACCCTTCATGATTTTATAAATCTCTATAACGTCACCCCTCAGCCTCCTACACTCCAGGGAAAGAAGTCCCAGTCTACCCAGCTTCTCCTTATGACTCAAACCTTCCAGCTGGAGTAACATACTTGTAAATGTTTTTTGCATCCTTTCCAATTTGATAACATCTTTCCTGTAGCTTTTTGTATGAATCTGGTCAGCATCAGTGTAATTTGGCCTTTGAGGTATTACAGTTCATGAGCTCCCTTTTCCTACATGTCTGTACTTTGCAATAGAGTCACAAAAGTGTTAAGAATGGAAGACCTACCAATTTTCTTTTAACCTCTTGAGCACATGGATAAGAAGGTTCTGGATATCTAGAGTCAGGGCCTTATACAACTGCCTTCCATCATGCAGGAAATCAAAATTACACCATGGGAAAGAAAATAGTCACCAGCACACCCAGTACGTGTTGATCTGTGTGGGAGGGGGCTCCAAGACCCACCAATATGGTGCCCTTTGAAAAGAGAAGGAATATTACATGGAGACACATACACTGTACAGGACACAGATCTGCGGGCTCCCTCATTCCTTGTGACTCTATTCCATTGGCCCTTTGACCCTATGACTCTGCACAAAGTGTCCCTGCAGCAGCCTTTCAATGCTAGTGTCTGATGCATCCTGCACTGTAGGTTTCAATTTCCTGAGTATCCTGCAAGTGGATCTTAGAGGTACTACCAAAATCCTGTGGGGGTTCCTAATTATCAGATGCCAGTGTTCACAGATAAGGTGTGCACAGCTGGTGCCCGTGGATCATACGCTGAGATGCTGTTGCACAGTGAGGTGCTGCTGACTAACATGGAGGCTCTTCACTGTCACCAATGAGCTGCAGTTGCCAGGTACTCACTGACCGCCAAGTCAAAAATTCTTGGTCTCAAGCTTGCTTGTCGCAGATGGCACATTAGAAATTTGCATATTAAAGAGATGAGATTTGCAGTTAATAAGGTGGTTAACAAGCAATAATCCCCTTCAATAGGCACCTCGCCGCTGCCTAGTGAGAATCTTGCTTTAATGGCCAGAACTTAGTCAGATCCTTGCAGCATCTTTTAACTATGAAATAAGCCTCATCGAACTTCTGCCGTAATGCTGTAATATTTCTGGCCATGGCCTGCCATTTTGGCCCCACACGCTTCTGTTGTAGGCGTCTGTCCTGATAATTGAAGACAAAAAGCTTCATTGGCATTTCACCTTTTTCACCAATTCTCATTAATTTAAACATTTTACTCTAAAACCATATTTTACATGTCTTAAGATTTTGAAATATGGAACCAAAAATTCTGATACCCAAAGAAGAAATATTTAATCAATATTACTTTGTATATTAAGAATCAACAGATGACTCAGAAGGTGACAGAATCAACAACAGTGGCTCTTCGGCTAGCTACTCAGACTACTCGCCTTCTCAGGGGTCTTCTGCTTCTTCTGGAGTACCTATTAAAGTCAGCACATTGCAGACTGCAGTCAAAGACGGTGTGGCAGCTTCCTCATGGGGAAACAGGTGAGTGTTCATTACAAAGGGTATATCATAATGAAGGCATATTAATTACCTATTTAATCTTTGCACGTTATAGTGAGCAAATTATTTTGTCTACTCATCAAAATGTTATCTTTCTCAATGAGAAGGAGATGCAACTTAAAGCGTAGCAGCATATAGCATGGAACAACTAAAGTTTAAAAGGAACGAGAAAAGATCATAGAATCATAGAACAGTATTGCATAGGAGGAGCCTGGTTGACTCATCAATTCTGCTCCCGCTATTTTGAAAAGCAATCCAGTTTATCCCATGTCTCAATATTGCTGCTTTTATTTCTCTTAAATATTTAACCATTTCCTTTTGAAGGCTATCATTGAATTTGTACCCATCACCCAATTATGCTGTACATTCCAAATCCTTACTGTGTTTAAAAAAAACTCATGTCACCTCTTAATAAAGTTAAATGTGCTGCTTCTATCAACTCTTCAGCTTTTGAAATCAGTATCTCTTTGATTACTCTATTTAAAGCCTTAATGATTTTCAACACTTCTATCAAAACCTCTCTTAGCCTTCTCTAAGGAGAAAAACTATGTAATTCTAATCCCTCAATTTTGGAACCATTCTTGTAAATCCTGTTCTTAGCCTCCACAAAGTCTTCATATGCTTCCTAAAATGTGTTGCTCAGAATTGATCACAGCATTACTGGGACAAAATTGGAATGTTATGTAGGATAACCATTAATTACTTGTTTTGCTACCCTATGTATCTATTTATAGAACTCAGGGCTCATCTACCTTGTTAACTGCTTTGTTATCAGCCAACTTCGAGAATTAAGACATAATCACCCACGTGTCTCTTACAACTTTTAAAATTGTACAAAAATTTACCTATGTTCTCCCTCCACATTCTTCCTACAAAAACTTAGCACCTCATTCTTTTTTGCATTGGTTTTCATCTATCATCAATCAATTCATCAATCTATCCATGTTATCTTGAAGTCAATTATCAGCTTTCTCAGCAAAGTTGTGTGTTATGTGCAAATTTCTAACCTCTAAATCATTAGTGGAAATCAGAAGAAGCACTGGTCTTAGGTGTGAATCCTGGGGAGCTTCACTCCAGTATATCTGCCTCTAGTCTGAAAAGCAACCATTCACAATAGAGATAGCAAGAACTGCAGATGCTGAATTCAGAGACAACACAGTGTAGAGCTGGAGAAACACAGCAGGTCAGGCAGCATGAGAGGAGCAGGAAAGTTGACATTTCAGGTCAGGACCCTTCATCAGAAATGGGGAAGCTTTGGGAGCATAGCCCCTTGGTCAGGTGAAGCACTTGAAGCAAGGTAAGATTGGGACAGTCACATGAGATTAAGGTAGAAGTTAAAATATCATAACCTTTTTACCTTCTTTATATGTGAGGATATTTTATAAGATAATGGAACAACTTGGTAGGCCATGGATGTAAAATTCTTGTTTTATGTTGAGAGAGGTCATTCATTAATATTTGTGGTTTAGTTTGTCATTTACAAACCCAGTTCCACCTGATTCAATAGGTGCAACTTTGTCAAGGGTTTTTTAAATGATTTCAGTTGTATAAAAATGGATGTTTACACCAATTTTAATGATTTTGAAGATTTTCGTCTGTCAGCACTTTTAATAGCTCATCCTGTGGAGGAACATAGAGCCACTGTCAACAAAGTCTGGTTTGTCATGCTTAACTGTGTATGTGAGAACACAAGGATTTGCTGTCAGTTTCACAGTTGTAAAGATGATGAACATTGGCATTCTACCATCATTATTGCCACAAAATCCTTTGTTTCTAAAAGCTCACTGATGGTGAATTAGCTGACATGCAGTTGCCAGGTTCATCCTTTTTTAGAACAATATGTAATTTTTGCAACACCCCAACTGTCTGGTGAGAGACATCTGGTATCAAAGAAGAATTAGAAAATGCTCACCATCATGTCCGCAGTTTTCACTCTTGTATCCTTTATTAGGTATAATGCATCCCCTCTGGAACAATTGACTTGTCCGTTTTAAATATGGCCAGCTTTTTAAATATAATTATTTATCTTTTCTTAATCTCACTCAGCCTCTCATTTACAGTAAGTTAGACAAATTCCGCTTCCTTACTAGCACCAATGCAAAGTGTTAATTTCAACATTGTGCATTGCTTTCTCTCTCCACCAATAAATATCCATTTTAGTCTCTAATTGGCACCCCCCACTCATTAGACAATCTTTTGACTTTTACATGTCTGTAGAAGATGTTAATTTCTTCTTTCATTCCACTTGTGTATTTTCTGTATATAGATGAATAACCAATAACAGTAAGTAATCAGGTGACATCAAGCTTTGCTTTTGAAAGTCTGTGGGTAGCAGGAGAAAGATATTGAGTGAGGTAAGGGCAGTCTTGATATTTTGGCAAAGAAGTAGATGATGCAATGGTTTGGAAATTGTCCAACAATTTAATTATTTTAACTATGTTAACGGATAGATTGGATTAAGAGCATATGGGAGAGTCAGTCATCCACCCCAGTTTACAGCCACATCTGAGACTTTATAGCAGGTGTAATAGTGGACATTGTTCACAACATCAATGTTGAACATATCCAATTAACAGAAATGTAAAGCATCACAAATTTAAGATCATTGGTAGGAAGATCAAATATATTTTGACAACAAAGAGTCATCATAAATTTATGTAAAAATAACCAGGAAAATTACTGAGGTAAATTTTCTAGATCAAAACATCTAAATATTTTTCCAGTGTGAAAAGACTGCAGAATGTGAGGGAAAGAAGATAGATAGGTTAAGATAAAAGACAAAGGGGATAAAGTTGTTTCCCTGAGACCACAGAACTTTGTCTTACATTTAATAAGGAAATATACAGTAAAATCACTAAATCTTTAGATACAAGGGTGATAGCAGAGCATCAAATTGAAACTGTTATGCCTTTATATGAAAAAATGTAAGGATGACCCCAGTAACTACAGGTCAGTTGGTTTAATCACAGTTGTGGAAGAGTTTCTAGAAACAATAATCTAGGACAAAATTCACAGACCCTTTGAAAAGTGTGGATTAATTAAGAAAATCTAGCATTGGTTTAACAATGGCAAATTGTGCTTCAGTGACTTGATTGACATTTTGATGAGGTAAAAGAGATGGCTGTTAATGGCAAGAGATATTAGGAACTGCAGATGCTGGAGAATCTGAGATAATAACATGTAGAGCTGGATGAACACAGCAGGCCAAGCAGCATCAGAGGAGCAGGAAGGCTGACGTTTCGAGCTTAGGCCCATTTCTGATGAAGGGTCTAGGCCCGAAACGTCAGCCTTCCTGCTCCTCTGATGCTGCTTGGCCTGCTGTATTCATCCAGCTCTACACGCTGTTAATGGCAATCTTTCTTCCAGAACGCATGTGATAAAATGTCAAGTAACATGCTTGTCAACAATGTGGGAGCCCATAGAATTAATAAAAAGTAGTGACCACATGGATACAAAATTGGCTAAGCGACAGGGAATAGAGCAATCATAAATGTTTTTTTGGACTAGGATCATACAGCACGGAAACAGAATCTTCAGCCCAACCTGTCCATGCCAAACAGGTATCCCAAACTTAACTAATCCCATTTACTTGTGTTTTGTCCATATCCCTCAACATCTTTCCTGTTCATGTGCCTGTCCAAACATCTTCTAAATGTTGTAATTGTACTTGCGTCTACCACTTCCTCATTCCAAACGCATCACCATCTGTGTGAAAAAGTTGCCCCTCAAGTCCCTTTTAAATCTTTCCTCTCTTGCCTTAAACATATGCCCTCTAGTTTTGGACTCCTCTACCCTAGGAAAAAGACCTTGGCTATTCACCTTATCTATGCCCATCATGTATTATAAACCTCTATAAAGTCACCCTTCAGCCTCAGGAAAACAAGTCCCAGCCCATCCAGTCTCTCCTTATAATTCAAACCCTCTAGTCCCAGCAACGTCCTTGTAAATCTTTTCTGCACCTTTTCTAGTGTGGCAACATCTTTCCTATAGCAGAGTGACTAGAATTGTACAGTATTCTAAAAGTGGCTTCACCAGTGTCTTCTACAGCATCAACTTGACACCCCAACCCCTTTATTCAATGCTGTGGCCAATGAAGGTAAGCGTGCTGAATACCTTCTTCACCGCCCTGTCTACATGTGATGACGCTTTCAAGAAATTATGTATCTGAACCCTTACATCCCTCTGTTCGACAACTCTCCCCGGGCACTCCCATTGACTGTGTAAGTCCTGCCCTGGTTTGTCTTAACAAAATATAACATCTCACATTTATCTAAATTAAACTCCATTTGCCACTTCTTGGCCATTTCTCTCCACTTCTGTTGGAAAATATGTGGTGCTGTTCCCAAGCAGTCCCTATTAGGACCACAGTTTGTTATTATCTATTTTAATGACATTAATGTCATATTTCAAAAATCAGGCTGCACCAAATTTTGGACTATTGATAATAAACTTCTAAATGTGACATTTCTTCAGTACTCTCTGGACTAATGACAATCAGATTGATGAACAACAGAATGTCCTGTGAACAAATTAATTGTTTATTGATCAAGACCACTAATTTCTAGACCTGTGTTTTCTTTTAAATTATTTGAAATGCTTATGCTAAACAACTCCTAAAGAAGGAAAGGGTAGGTTAATGTTCAATATTGCCTTTCATCAGGGCATTGTTTGTGGTGATATTGATTAACCCTCAGACCTCTCTAACCTACTTAAAATAGGGGTTCCCCAGCCTGCCACAGGGCTTTTAAATGAGAATTTGATGTGGCAGTGAGCCAATATTCCCTGTGAGTGGACGGTGCATTATGTTAGATATGCTACAAAGGTTTCAAATCACAAGGTGACAATTTGATCTCTGATGATGTTTCACAAAAAAAGTAAGGACCAAGCATAGTATTTCATCCAAAAAATGTATATGGCAAATAGATAACCAATCTCAGACAGGGCAATAAAATTAGTTAAAAGGTAAGGAGGCAAATGGAACA